GAGTGAGGCCTCCCCTCTGCCAGCTGCCCCTGAGCTCTCATCCCCACCAGCCAGCTCCCAGCCCCCACCTCAGCTGCCCCTTCCTCTCACCTCAACATCGAAGAGTTTGCTTCTCCTCTATATGACTCTTCTCAACTCCTCTCCTTGTCTTGAATATCAAACGAGGAGAACCAAATTAGCTATTTTTCAAGCTTGCAAAATGTAGATAGAGCATAATGAACGTTCTGGGCTGCTTGTAAATTACCTCGTATAAACTCCTTCACATCGCCCGCTGCCCCATCTTTCTCCATGTGCTGTGGATAAACACAATTTTTTATCCTTCTAATTATATAAAGTTAGAAGAAGGGGACACAGAATAATATTAGCATCTCCCAGAAGGAATAAATAAACCATGAGAACACTGCTGCTCCTTGCTGTGCCTTTCTGGTGGTCCGAGGGCTGAATTCTGCCCTTTAATAAATACACACAATTGCTCTTTGCCTCTGCAGAGAGATGGATTTGCATTTGGTACAGAAGGGCAAATGGGGGACCCTCCATCTCTGTCTCTGCCATCAGCTCACTGCCTATCTCGCCCCCAGTCCACAGCCGCCATTTATTACTCACCTACTCTGGACACAGCACCATCCTAGCTCTTATTTAAAGAGCAGCTTCAGGTTTGCAGACAAAATGGAGCAGAACATACAGAGCATTCCCATAGATGCTCCCCCCCACCACCACGTTGTGTTCCCCCTGTTATCATAACATCTCGGATTGGGAGGGAATAATTGGCACAATTAAGGAATCAATTATTATTAGCTGAAGTCCTTAGAGCTCCTTCCAGTGAGCTCACTGTGCTGTAAAACCTGGAACATGTATAATGACATGTATCCAGCATAACAGAATCATACACAGTAGTTTCATGGTCCTAAGCTCCCGTGTTCCACCTGCTTGGCCACATGCACCCCAAATCCTTGGTAATTATTGATGTTTCTATTGTCTTCCTAGTTTTTCCTTTTCCCAAATGCCATAGAGTTGGAATCAGATAATATGAAGCCTTCCACTCTGGCTTTTTATTTTCTAGAGAATGCATGCCTTTAATGACATGTCTCCCATCACTGTCTCTTCACAGCTTATCAACTCATTTCTTATCACATGGAATAATATTCCATGGTGTGGATGTAGCTCACTTTGGTTATTATCCATCTTTTAAAGGACATCTTGGGACTTCTTTCTAAGTTTTGGCAAATGTGAGTAAAACTACCATAAGCTTTCCTGTGCAGGTTTTGCGCAGAGCTAAGTTTTCAACTTGTTTGGGTAAGTAGCTAGGTATGTAATTGCTTGATCATATTAATTTTACAAGGAATCAAATTTCCAAAATGGCTGTACAGTTTTGCTCTCCTGTCTGTAAAGACCAAGAGTTCCTGTTGCTCCACCTCCTCACCATTTGGTGCTGTCAGTATTCAGATGCTGGCTATTTTGGTAGGTGTGCTGAAATGTTGATTTAATGAACAATTCCCTGGCAACCTAATATCAAACATCCCTTTATGTGTTTATTTGCCATCTGAACATCTTCTTTGGAGAGATACCTGTTCAGATCTTTTGCCCATGTTTTATCATTTTATTTGTTTTCTTACTGTTGAGTTTTAAGAATTCTTTGTAAATCTTGGATACCAAGTCTTTATCAGATACGTCTTCTGCAAGTATTTTCTCCCAGTCTGTGGCATAACTTTCCCTCTTAATGTCTTCACACTTCTCATGCCAAAATGTTCTCATGTAATCTTCCCCCTCCATCCTATGATTTTTATGGTATTGATCCCTTTTTGCTTAGGACCCAAAGTTGAGAGATCAGTTGACTGCTAAGTGATGGAGATTGGAACCCAGATCTGACCACAGCTTCACCTCTTAAAGGTGTATCCATGTGGTCAGTTCATGCTAAAATGCTCCTTTACCATCTTGGGGAATAGCATCTGTGTCTGGATGCCCTGCAGAGCCCGGGTGACTAACTTCAAGGACCTTTGGATAACTTGGGCACCCTCTGTGATGTGAGCCCCATCTAGCCCACCACCAGACCCCTCCACCCATGCTCATCCCCTCACGCTGTGTTCATTGACTGGACATTGTCTATGATTCTCCCAGTGTCCTTGCTGTTTCAGTATCTCTCATTTGTGTTGTTCCTATTGATGGAAAAATCCTTCTGCATTTTCAGTGGCCAAGCCTTACTCACTTGTAATTCTTCTTTCACACATCATTTTCTAGAGCCCTCTCTTCCCCACTTTCTGCACCTTGAAACTCCACTTTGGGGTCTAGTCTGTCTCCCCCCACAAACTCCTGAAGCATGTCGCTCTGACTATACTTTCTGAGCCCCTTCAACAAACCTGCACATAGTAGGTGCTCCAGGTTGTGTCCTTCAGTGAATGAACTTCCCTACCTTTCATCTTTAAGAGCTTTTAACTCAAAAAAAGCTTGTTTCTTTTTGGTTTGTTCCTAATCATTATTGCTTTCAGATTTTTAATTTCTTTTTATATTACAGAAAAATCCCCTTTCAATATTTTAAACCAAAATCTGTTTTCAGTGCCCTCAGGGGCAGCCATAACTTAATAAATAAAGGAGATTTTTGAGTCGATAAGTCATTAGTGAGACCATGAGTGAAAGCAGAATATGCATTTTCCATTTTGAAAAACTGAAGCGTGTTTGTAACCACTGCGAACAAGGTTTAGTGTCCTGTACTCAAGGCCAGGCACCAGACTTTGACTGACTTTGGGTGGGGCACTCTCTAAGAAGCCCTGCTCTCTGAGACTGACCACTTGCACAGACTCCAGGAATAACAACTGCAAGATGCTGGTGTCTGGCAACAGCTCATTATGTGGAATGAGCAGGTTCTTGGGGTGGACATGCCTGGATGGAACCCCAGTTCTGCCACTTACAGGCCTCGTAACATGGGCAACTTGCTGAACGCCTCTAAGTCCCAGTGTCTTAATATGTGAAACAGGAAATTAATAAAACTCCAGTGTTTTGATAACCTACAGAGCTATTTTGAGGAATCAGTCATTGAGTGAGACAATACATGTGAAGCCTCCATAGTGGTTCATGGCAAACTCCTCTCCACAAACTGCTCACTCACCACCTCAGGGCTGGCTCTAGTTCTAGTGGATTCTAGAGGCAACTACTGCCTCTACTTGCTTTCATGGAAGCGCTTCCCCCCCGAGATTAGAAAAGTAGTGTCCTGCGCGTCTCGGCGTCCAGCACAGTGCACAGCCCATGGCAATGCTCCATGGGTTAGTTCTAATTTAGCATGTTAATGAGCAGCAGTGGGTGGTGCCCGCCCAGTCCCAGGTTTATCCATCCATCCTCAACCTGTTATTTGCCTTCTCCTGCTCACCACTCTTTCATGGCTGCATTTTTCAGTGTCTCTTGTTAGCAGCTTCAGGTTGGGGTTGGCCATCAAGTGCACTGAGGGAGGCTGGCAGTGGGGAAGGGAAGAGCAGGGTGTGTCTCCCCCTCTGTCTTAACCACAGGCACTTTCACAAGCAGTGAGTGAGGCTCTTCCTCTTCTCTAGCTTGCACATGAAAGGCCACCGTGGCCCCAGTTTCCATAGGTTCCCCAGCCCTGGAGCGCTGGTCACCCCCGCTGCCTTCTGTCCCTGCAGCCTGAGGAGGCAGGGGCTCTTTGGGGGTCTTATCTCTGAGCTCCTCACCCTCCTTGGCTTCACAAGTCTTCCAGCACCCAGTAACCCTCTGTGGTTCATTCCTTCTGCCGTGGACCCTCGAAGTGGAGTTTCATACCTGAGACTCATCTCTACAAGTAGGAGCCTCTCAACTCACTTACAAGCACCCACTCTTCAAGCTCCCCCCTCCCTAGCCCCGGGGACAGGCAGTCTTCATGAGCCTCAGTGCCCCACCTGTCCTCTCCCAGGACCTGTGTGAGAGCCCACATACCTGCCAAGTGCTCCTGAAGCCCGTTCCTGCCATGCTGTTGTGGAGGAGCTGGGCACGGCATGGCATCCTGAAGGGTAATGTATGGCTCACAGGTTCCGGGGGGATAGATGTGCTTTGGCAAAGCGCTGTGGACGTCTAAGAGGATGAGCTGACCTGGCCTCCTTGGAGCCCTTCGGGATGTCCAGAGGTCTCAGGACAGTTTGCTGGGAACCACCTGCCCCTGCGAGTAAAGTGGCCTGGCAGTGAATGCAGGGGGGGACCTGCAGTGCCCAGGACGGCCAGCCGAGCCCTTCCCCCCACACCCCTAGCCAGGGAGTTCTGTGTGCAGGGGGGTCTGTTCACACCTGGGAGCTGGCCCAGTTAATTGTAAAGGTTTTGCCTTACTGTTTTGCTGTACTGGATATTTTAATGGGTTTTATTTGTTATTATTTGAAGTAAGTGTGCCATCAAGGAAAGCCTGCAAGTCTTATTTACGCCTAGACTGTGTCCGGAATGGTGTTCTCTGTAACATGGCGGTTACTTATTGATGACCTCTTTTATAATGACTTAGGCAGCTTCCTTTGAATGATGGTATTGATAACAGTATGTGACCGACAATCTTTTTGTGACAATACTCCAAGAGGCAAAAGAAAACCAATTTGGGCATCTGTACAAAATAGGTAAATTTGCTTTTTTGAAGCAAGCATGAAAATAGAGCACATTCACTCCGAGTCAACACACCTCATGGCCCGAGTGTTTTCATAGTGCCCCTGTGCTGGCCCTGTGCTGAAGATACTGCCAGCCCCGTTTTAATGACAAAATCACTAAGACTTAAAGGAGCAGGTGGCATGGCCAGGGAGGTCCAGACAAAGCCAGCATCAGAAGGACAGCGGGAATCAAGCAGAGCAGCACAGACGGGTGCTGTTTAAGGGACAATGCACTCTGAGCCTGCCCTCATCTGTAAGTGGGCGCAGTAACTGAGGGCGGGGCTAGGGTTAAGGAGGCTTTTTGTACAAGAGCCCTGTGGTGGCTGGGGTGGTGGTTCGAAAACGCCAGAGCTGGCCCCCACCTGAAGTCCTCCTTCCCCTTCTCTTCTTTCTCTGCAGATGACCACTCCCGAGTGAGGCTGCTGGTGTTGGACGGAGACCCCCATTCCGACTACATCAACGCCAACTACATTGATGTGAGGGTCTTGACGGGGCTGGTAGCTGGGGCCTGGGCTGGCAGCAGCGGGCCCAGCATGGGGTTCCCCCCACCCCCTCCTGGAAGCTGGCCCTCTCAGAGCCCCCTGCTCCTCCCGGCTTTGTGTAACTGCTTTGTGACCCATGTTGAATGTCCATGAGAAGCTGCATCTTCTGTCAGGCTGGCGGGAGCAGGACCCAGCTGCTCCTTGGGGTCCCAGGACAGGGGAAAAGTGCTAGTCTTATCCGGACCCCAGGAGTGTGTCTGGACGCACTCATTTCTGTGTGTCTTTGTTTGTGCCTTCATCTGAAAGTATAGTCATTTGTCCCACAAAAATTTTAAAGTGCCTACTGTATGCTGGATGCCATGGAACCCATAAAAGGAAAAATGCATGGCCTCTACCCTCTCGAGCCTTAGCAGGAAGATGAGCTGTGCACATCAATGATTCCTGGACAAACTGGAGAGTGCTAAATGTCACAAGTTCAGATAAATTGCTGTAGGGATTCAAAGGTGTATAAAAAATGGTTTCTTCTATCAGGAACGCAAAATATGATCTGGACCAAAGCCTCCAGCACAGAGAGAATTTAAAATCAAAGACAAGGGACTCTGGCTAGAGAACAGAACAGTGAAAATACTGCTGTTGGAAGCAGAAGATAGACAGCGGTTCAGTTTGAGGGGATACATACTCTGTGATGGGACTAGGAGGAATTGAAGTTGGAGGTAGATTGCTGGTGGCTTAGATGGACTTTATCTTGTTGACAAGAGAAAGCTATAGAAAACTTTCAGTCCAGAAGAAACCTGTTCAGAGCTGAGCTTTGGGATGGTTTTCCCACCAAGGGTGGGAGGACAGGACAGGAGTCTGAAATCAGATACTCAGGAGAGGGCTTTGGTATTCCAGAGATGATGGAGGAAAGGACTCAGCACAGCCACAGCCAAAGTGGATGGCCATGACGTGAGCAAGTTTTCAAAGGGGGAGACACCCCTGAGTGGCAGGTGCAAAAATGCTTCTCAGGACCTCAGCTGGGTGCCCAAGGAGCCCAGTGAACGACCATCCTGTTCCCTTTGACTCCCCAGAGCACTCACAGATGACTAGGAAGTGCCGTGCCATGCTTTGGAATCCCCATGATCTAGTCTGAGCCAAATGATTCCATAATCCAACAGCTTTTCTAGAATCTTATGTTGGTCATTTGCCTGTTTGACCTTCAATCTCTTCCTTGTCCTTTCCCACTCTGCTTTGCAGGTGTGAGTGAGCGAGCGAGCGAGCGAGTGAGCGTGTGTGTGTGTGTGTGTGTGTGTGTGTGTGTGTGTGTGTGTGTGTGTGTACTGGAGAGGGAGCTGATCCCTTCAAGGGCAGCACTTATGGGACATGAGAGGTGAAACGCAGGAAGCCATGTATTTCTCCTCCTTTCCCCCTCCCCTGAGTGGCTGCCTCCCACTGAGCGGCTGTGAGTTCAGTTTCCATCAAGCAGGCACCAGAGCTCAGCTTCTGCCAGGTGGCCCAGATCCTGCGCCCTGGCCAGCCTTTCTCTTGCTACCCTAGAGGTGGTCACAGCCTCCTGCTGTTGCTGACCTATGAGCTACCCCTCCCATCCCTGGTTAGCATCTCAGCCCCCCACTACCTGTATAGCCAACCCCCTACACCGAGTTACCTCTGTCTGAAACATCTAGAATACTTTTGTTTTCCTGCCTGGGCCCTGGCTACCAATGGCTGGCATGGTCTGGGGCTGGAGTCAATGAGAGCCAAGATGGAACGGTGTCTACCACCAGGACACGGCCTGTTCAGAGCCTCCAGCCTGGAGGGAGACCCTTGGGGAGTTCACCCGAAAGGCCTTCAGCCTTTCCCTCCTGCCTTTAGTATTCATTTCACAAAGGTTGAGCAGACCCCCGAGGGTGCGTTGGAAATGCAGCCCCCAAAGGGATCAAATCTGATGAGGGAGTGAGAGCAGAGGCCCTCACAGAGCAGACGCTGTGGCCACACAAGGGAGAAACAAAGTCTGGAGTGTGGACGTGGAACAATGGGGGGCGGAGGGAGCCTGGCAGGTGCAGGGCTCAGGGAGTTCTTGGTGAACGATGCACAGGCTTACCTCCCTGGGCTCTCACCCACATCCTGGAGAGAGGTGGGAGGGGCTCTCTTGCTCCTGGTACCAGTCAGGACACTGAGGTTCACAAGGACTGCCATGCCCATGGCTGGGGAGGGTGGAGCTCAGAAGAGCGGGGTTCTCCTAACTGAGTTCAGAGGCTCCTGCTTCTAGAAGGGACTGCTGTGGACTAGTGGCGGGACACATCCCACACGGCTGTCTAGGTCTTCAGACTTTGTTGGTGCTGGTCTCCACCCCAGTTGGACTGCCCCCCACTCCCCAAGGTGCTAACTGCCCACGCTGGAATCATTTGTCCACCACTGGATCTTGACGAGCCATTAAAATGGCTCCATTTGGATAATGAGTTGCGTGTGACCAGTCCCCTCACCCCCCAGAGGCCACGGCTCTGCTACTCTGAAAGCCTCCCACCAGCGGGATTGTTTGCACACCCGAGAATGTATTGGCCACTTGAATCTGTTATAAATTACCAGTCTGGAAATAAGTATTGTATCTGGGTCCCCAGTAAGTAACAGATGCATGAGTGCAGAGTGAGATAAATGCGTTTTGGATGCAAACCTCTTTCCCATTGCTCACAGACAGATGGAGTGGGCCCAGGCTGGTTTGCATTCGATGCGCGTGCTGTGGAGGTGGGACTCACCTGAACCTAAAGTTCTTTTCAGGTTAGGAAGTTTTCTGCGCCAGCTCTTGGCAGACCCCCTGAGGAGCTCCAATTCACTTTATCTCCTTTTATCTCCATTGCTGAGGAGACTGGTAGTTAGAATGTCTGCTCCTCGGGGACTGTTTGGACTCTCAGAGGCCAGAGAGGATCTGTTACTCGGGTTTAGCATGTGGACAGGGCACAGCACCAGACCTGTGCTCGTGTCTTTCGTTCTGTCTGCATTAGCAGGGCCAGTGGCCAAGGCCAGGTTCGCTGGGGTGGGGAGATAACCAAGAGCAAGCCAAAACCCCCCTGCCCAGTGTTCAAATGGGGAGACAGATAAGAAGCTTGTGGATAGTGAAGTTCATTGTAGCACTTGTTGACAAGTGTTCCGAGGAGAGGTAAACCAGTAAAAGCAAAAGAAGCTGAAGGGGAGGTCAAGGAAGGACTTTCTCAAGAAGGAGTGGACAACCCAGCATAAGCCTGGACTCGAGGGGGAGAATGTATCACCCCTTCACCCTTGGCCAGTGACAGGTCATCTACATGTCGGTGTGTGTATTTTTTTTTAAAGATTTATTTATTTATTCATACAGAACTGGGGTACAGGCCAGAGATGCGGAGGGTGAGAGGATTCACCAGGGACAGAGTGGGGAGCAGAACAGGCAGATCAACGAAGTACACTGCTGAGGGGAGCAGTAGGCGGGTCAGGAGAGGTCTGCCACGCCATGTGGATCTCCTCCAGGGCAGGCGGGGATCGAACTCATGTGGAAATGGCTCTGGCTTCTTAGTGCTGTGCTTTAACCCGCTGCGCCACCAGGGAGGGCCCTCGGTGTGTGTATTTTTTAAGAACGAGACAGCCAATGAGACAAAGGGTGACGGGTAGAAAGCTTAGAAACTGCTGAAACAATGACACCTATCTCAGCTTAAGAGGCTATTTCAACTCTTACCATCTCATAGAATAAGTCTCTGACCCTTGGGCGCGAAGCTCCCCGTGGGAGTTCCACAGAACCCCATGTCTTCCTCTTGGTCATCCTTACCCACTTAGTTGATGTTTATAAACTGCTCAAAAAGAAGGCTGGCCCAATGCCATCTGGTCCTACTTTGGCATTCCCAGTGCCCTCGTCAAGTTCTTAGTAGGTGCTCAATTAATGGCTGTTTTATGACTATTGAGTGACTGAATGCAAAAGAGTAAATAAACTCTGGTCCTCTCCCCCCCACAACTGAATTGTTAATTTCTTGCTCCAAATTTCATCCTGTTGACTTTCAAGCACATGAGAATCATACAAATCAGTACCCAGCTGGATGGCATGTCTCATGGACATGCCATGAGAAGGGGAAAAGGACAAAAAACCTTACTGCAGCATGAGCTGCAGGTGTGTTGGTCGGGCATATGCAGAGCCCTGCAGGGCCGCTCAGGAGGAAGCAGGTCTCCCTGGAAGCACAGTGTGGCAAGCTAGGACAGAGGTACAGGGTTGTGGGGGAGGCAGAGAGAAGCTATGGGGATGAGGCTGGAGACAAAGCTGGAGATGGGTGATTAGCCCAGAGCTAAGGCATCAGGACACCATCATGCAGGCAATGGGACCTTAGGTGGAGAAACAACTTTAGCAAATGTGCCTTGAGAAGCTCACTCTGGCAGGAGGCATGTGGGCTGTGGGGCAAGACTGGAGGCAGGGAGACCAGCAAGAAACTCAGGTCAGGGAGGATGAGGGCTGTGCCAGCATGTAATGAGGGGATGGGGAAGTGGAGAGACAGAGAAACTGCATCTTCCCTTCCACCAGGGGATCATTTTTTGTTCCCAAGCTTCCTCAAGAAAACTTCCAGAGTCTAAGTGTCCCTGTGAGCTGGGTAGCCCAGTCAACCTTGATTTGGAGGAACAAACAGAACTCTCACTTTCCTTCTTACCTAATGTCTCAGAAAAAGACTCAGTTATCACCTTAATAGGAGAGCAGAGGTGAGGGAAAGACTTACAGCCTCCAAATCTCCCCAGTCATCAGCGCAGAATTTCAGCAAAGAAGTCATTCCTTAAACACATGCCCAATAAACAATAAAATAACAATAGCAAAGACGTGTATATTAAGGCTTACAATAGTGCCTGGCATGTAGTAACCTGTGTATTAGCTCATTTAATCCCAACAGCAACATTAAAATGTAAATACTATTATCCTCATTTCACAGGAAAAAAAAATATTTTTTTAAGGCAAAGCAAGGGGAAGTAGCTTGCCCCAGACCACACAACCTCAAGGGGAAGCGCCAGGATCAGGCCCAGGCAGCCGGCTCCGGTGCCGTGACTTGGCCACCAGGTGCTGCCTTTTCGGTTGTGTCTTGTTTAATGAGCCTTTGCTTTGAGCCTTACACTGTGCTCGGCTCTTCAGAAATGTTTTGGTAGGTGTTTTCCTCAAAAAACTGACAGTCCCGCTGAGAACTTAGGACTACTCAAACAGTCAGGTTGGAGCTATTGATTCCTGTGTAGTTCGTCGATAGTTCTGGCACTGATGTTGGTCTTGGGTTGGTGCTGACAATCAACCAAGGCTTCTCTAGAGTGTGCCCAGCAGCTAGAAGGTGCCTACTGCATAGTCATGAAGCAAGTGGAAGACTGAGGCAGAAAAGTGCACAGGGGACCAGAAACTGGTCTTTGACAGAAGGTGGTTCCAGACCTCAGAGACGCCCAGTCTGTTTCACCATAAACCATTTGATGGCAATTCTGATTCTTTCCTAAAGGGGGGGTCTTAAGCAGTTCATCCACTGTGCTGGGCCAGACACCCCTATGAAAGACAAAAATAGGTATTAATGAAACGTTTGGACTTACTGTCTCCTGAGATGGCTAACCACAGAGAGAGCAAATTTCAGGACTGTCAACCTCTGTACCAATAGGTTCCATAACTGGCACTTCTATTATTTTCTTAATGTCTTCATTTCTCCATTCATTCACTCACTGATTCATTCAATAAATACTAATTTGGTTCAATGTCATAAACTAAATGTAGATCTGCCCCCCCAAAACTTGGACTTCCACCCAATATCATAGAGTTCCTCTGTAACAAAGAAAGGGGCCCCCCCACCTTTGCCATGCCCCAACAAAAGAGAAGGTCACCTTCAGCCCCTGCCTGCAAAGAACGCACCCTGAGCATAGCAGGGCCACTGGAAAAATCAGAGAAATCAGAAACCGGTTTCTGCAGCAGAACGTGGCTTTATCAGCCCTCAGGTCACCCTCCAAGGGCCTCTGCCCACTGGTGGAGTCTAAAGTTCCAAGCGTGTCCCTGTCTGCATGAGAGTCAGTGTGGCGTCCTTCCCAATTTTCTTTTTCTACTTGCTGCTAATGGAAGGAGTCCTCGATGCAACTGTTTGCATCTCTAAGATGTCCCACAAGGTGCACTACTCTGCCTCCAATTGTATTGCAGGAAAGGTTTCTGATATCCCCCAGAAGCCTGCACATTCCTTCCCCAACTCTTTCTTGGTGCATGAGCATAAGTGATGCCCCTCGCTCCCCCAAATTTGCTCCCCATCCTCTAGCGCCAGGACAAGCCTTTTTGGGCATTTCCCAAGTCACCACAATAGTGGCTACTATGTAGTGATTACTGAGCATTTTACATGCATTATCTTAGTGAATTTTTGCCACTCTTCTGGGAGATGTCTATGCTCATTCCCGTTTGCTTTGAAGGAAACTCAATCTCGGGAAGGCTAAGGCTTACTGTAACTATTATGCTGCTGGCAAGCTTTGACTCCAGACTCTTCACTGTGCTTTTTTCTGTTTTCCAGGGATACCATCGACCTCGGCACTATATTGCAACTCAAGGTAAGTGTCCTTCATTTCTTCTAGGGCCCTTGCCCTTTCCTGGAGGGGAGGAATGAGATGAACTTCTGCCAGCAAAGAACTCACAGGAATAGAACTAGAGAGCCTACAGGGGTCCTTGAGATTGTGCACTTGGGAAGGGAAGAGGTGTCGGGTTCAGCTATGGGAGGAGGGACCTGAGTGAGCAAAGAGGGAGATTTCACCACTGTCGTGATCAGGAGAGATGGGCGCGGGCTAGGGAGGACAGAAGTCAGGCCAGGGCATCAGCATTCACTGTCCAGAGCTGGAGCTGCTGGTGCCTTCTCTCCTCGATGGCTTGTGCCCAACTGGCCCAGAAAGCCCTTTGCCTGCATCTTACTAGATGGATAAAATATGGTCAGACCTCTCCAAGCCCTTCTGGGAGGATATTCTGTGGGTACCTATATATGGATAGTGACTTATTTCTAAAGAAATGCCTCACAGTATTATCTATAATGTGAAAAAAAATGGAATAAAGTAAAGCATCATCACTTCATAGTCTAGGAATACTGTGCATGGTCAAACTTTTCAGGGGCACTGGAAATGCATCTCATGGATACGTGCCTTAGAATCAGTGCCTCTGTGTGTGGCTGCCTGTACATATATCCATGCATGCCCTGGGTATGAGTATGCAGAGAGACGTGGGTGTGTGTAGGTACATACACACAGAAAACGGCATCCAGAATTCTACATTCAGTACATGTATTACTTCTGTAATTTTGAAAATGATGTAGGCCAAGGACATTGAAAGAGGAATTTCCAGGGAAATTGCTTTGGACTCTCAGATCCTATCTCCCATTCCTTCTCCTTTGTATTTCTTTCTTTATTTCTTGCCTTCTTTCTGTCTGGGTGCTAGGTGAATGGCTGTAGCATTTGTCAAGCCCAAATCAGGCATCCTCTGTTTGTGCTCCCAGCCTCTGGCTCCTGGCGACAATCCGGCCGTCTGTCCTCCCCATTCAATTTCCTTTCCTTTCTCACTGAGGTTCTGAAACCCAATTTTTGTAAACTCCCTGAAGCTATGTTATTAATGCATGGTGTGGTCCAGATGCGGTGATGAGTTCAGGAGGGGGCAGCGGAAAGCTGAGCAGCAGGACAGCAGAGGGAAGGACAGAGGCTTCCTGGCCAGTAGATGCTCCAGGCCAGCCACGCTGGCAGCCGGCTTTCCTCATCCACACTGACCTCCACACTCCAGCCACAGTCTGCGCTATTCACCTGGCCTCAGGCTTGCTCACCTGCCTGGAGCCTCAACGGACCCACCAGGACTCACTGCCCCTGCAGGAGGGCTTCCTAGCCCCTGAGTCTTTGACCCTGTGACCTTCTCTGTTGGCAGGTCCAATGCAGGAGACCGTAAAGGACTTTTGGAGAATGATCTGGCAGGAGAACTCGGCCAGCATCGTCATGGTCACAAACCTCGTGGAAGTGGGCAGGGTAAGCCCCTCGCAGCACCGGACAGAGGCAGCCGGCATCGTGCTCCCGGCAGCTCAGCGCGCTGGGTGGTGCCGAGTGCCTCCGTCCAAGAGTTCACCCTCACAGCCACCCACAGGGAGAAAGGCCCACTCCTACTTCCCTCTTGAGGACTGTCCTTTCCCGCAAGCCTCCATCCTCCACCCTCCACCCCCACACGTCGCCATCGATGACGTCATCTCATAGTGCTTGAGGAAATGAAAGTCACCAGACATGAACGCTCATCTTCACGCCGCACAGCTGCAACCCCGCTTGTCTCCACAGCCATCTTCTCCTTCTTTCCACCTGCGATCAGGCTGAACTACAAAGAAAAGCTGTTTCTGTTGACCTAAAGTGGTAGATCAGCCGCGTCTTATGGCTCAGCCTCATACAGTGGAAGAAGTGGCTCTTGCCCTTTCAGAGGACTCCTCGTGCTTTGAAAATCAGACGTTGCTGGAGAATCGCCTCATTTTCCCTCTCTCATGGAAATATAGGTCTCTTTCTCATGAGTAGCATAGAAACATGTTGAGCGCCTTCCCCCTTGAAAAGAGAAAGCAGGCACTTTTCTTTTTCTTTCTGGCTTATTTCACTGAGCATGATCCTCTCCAGCTCCATCCATGTTGCCGGAAATGGCATGAGTTAGTCTTTTTGATCGCTGAGTAATATTCCATTGTCTGGTTTCACTTTTAGGAGGAATAAAAGGGATGGGGAGGAAGTAATTACAATGAAGTGAAAACCAAAATCAACATACAAGTATAAACCAGAGACAGGGGTGAGGGGAGTAGGGTCAAAACAGGTGGAAGGAGCACAAGGGACCATAGTGATGGTGCTGGGGAGAATTGGTGGTGGGAATTCCATGGGGACCACAACTGAGATGAAAAAGCATACATTGTGCAAGAGTGGAAAGTGTTATAAAAATATATAAACTTTAAGAAATGTAAAAAGAAAGAGAAAACAGGCAAGCAATGGGATCCTCATGGCTCCCCCTTCCTGCCACACACTGAAGGCCCCACATAGCTCTGCTTCTTCACTGTGTTCTCTTCTGACACCCCACCCCACCCCACCCCACCAAGAGTGATGCCAGTGTCACCCTATCTTCCATGCTGACAACTCTAGTAGCCGCTTTCAACCATGTCAACCTCTCAGCTGCCCGGTCCTTGCTCCTGCTCTTCCCCCCCCCCCAACCCCTAAACCCAGCTCTTCTGCAGGGTTCAGGCTTCTGTCTTCCCCTCTGCTCTGTCTCCTCTCCCCTGTGTGGGCCCTCGCTGTTCTCAGGGCTTAGAAGAGGGGCGGCTGCTCCCCACTTGAGTCGGTGTAATTGATGAGCTGTGACGTGCCGGAGGGTGAGAGGGCTGAGGGGTGTGAGGTAGGAGACACACAAAGCAGGACTCAGAGGCCTCCCCACGGAACATACGAATCAACTGAGGAGGAGGCGGGTGTCCCTTTTTGTTTTGTTTTGTTTGGGTGAGGAGCAGGTGTCTGCTCATCTAACGATGCCTGGCCTCCTAGGTAGTGGGAAAGAGAGACTGTGGCTTGTCAGTAATAACCCAGCGAACAGGCGCGGCCAGTGCAAGGCCTGGCGGACACTCAGGGTCAGGGTCGATGTTTATTCTTGTGCCCACTCTTTTCTGGTCCATTCCCTGGTGTTACAGATAAGGAAACAGACCCAGGGGGAATGGAGCGACTCCCCTGACGTCTCCCGGGCACCATCACTAGCTCCTGACTGTCTCCATTGCTCATCCCCAGGCACTCAGGGCTGCTCCTCAGGGACACAGGGCCAGCTGCTGTGGCCACAGAGGCCAGCCCAGGGCGCCAGAGATACAGCCCAGCCTGTCCCCTAGCAGAGCCCTCAGTGGAGACAGGCCCTTGATGGGCAGGTCTTAGCCCTAGTTTGACTTGGGGGAGGGACAAGGGGACAGCCCTGGATGGGACTTGGGGCAGGAGCCACGTGCCATGCCAGACCCCCTTGGGCATTATTTTCCCTCATCTCATGACAGCCACAGTGACCCTGGTCATTATTCACACGGCCCAGCTGACAACCTGACTCCAAACCGTGCTAAGAACTGTTCATGGGCAAATTCTTAGCCTCTCTGTTTCAGATTCCTCATCCAAAAAGTGGAGGTTGTAATAATTATACTGCAGGGGGTGTGATGATCAGCAATTAAAATAATTAAATATTTGCACAAGATGCCGTGAGCAGTGAATAACTGTTAGTGATCAGTTCAACAGGAAGGGAGGCTCAGAGAGGCCTTGACAATTTCTGAAGGTTGCACAGCTACCGTTAGCACCTAGCAGTGCATCCACTTGCCTCCAGAGCCTGATGCGCTTGACCAGTGTTTCCCTAAGTGGGTTCCATGGGCTGCTAGTCTGCAGGATGCTTAGTGAGAAGAGGGTTCCATGGTTAAATACGTTTGGGAAATGCTGTGTCCTCTGCCCCTTTCGGAGAGCCATAAGCCACACCAGTGCGAGCACGTTCAGCCAGACGAGTAGCACCATAGCAAAGCAGCCCGTTTAAGTTTGTGTAACCCAGCATTTCCCAAACTCATTTGACCACAAAACCTTTTTTTGTTTGTTTTTGTTTCTTGTTTTTTTTTTACCTAACACCTATTAGCACCCAGCGGAATACACTGTGGGAAATGCCACGCTAGGCCGTGCGGCGTCCCCCGGAATGGTAATGCTTTTGTTCTTTTAAGGGGAAACCAGTGGTCTCTCTTCCTCCTGCAAAGTATGGCATAGCGTCAGAGGTGGGGATGGCTTGTTGGAGCATCCACCCCCGCCCGGGCAGAGAGCCAGCACCAAGCCTGCCCTCGGAGTCCGAACCTTCCATCCTTTTCCCAACGAAGAGTCTTCCTCCTTCCAGCCCCCAAGGACCACCACTCAACAATGACCCTCCCCCTGCTTCCCACCTTTCACCCTCAGCTCTGCTCAGCTGACACCACTCAGCTGCCCCAGCCTGCTTCCAAAGAGTGCACTCAGCCAAAGGGAGAAAACTGGCCGTGTGACCTTGGACCAGTCACCAAACTTCAGACCTGAGTAGCATTTTCACGTGTTGAGTGGGGATAACGACACCTGCCTGTCTCACCTAGGTCAATGCCATCACTTAGTGTGATGCTGGATTTGGAAACCACGAGAAGCTCAGCCACAGGAGTCACGTCCACTATTCCTAAGGGCCCCAGACCCTCTGGGAATGAGCTCGGCCCTGGGCAGTCGGCTGATTCCTGGTCAGCTGAGAACCCCTTCGACTGAAATTCCACCAAAGTGGCCCTTGGGTTTGTCTGCAGGGGACGAGGAGGCTGCTCACACCCCACCACCCACTCACACATGTCTCTGTCCTCTCTCGCAGGTGAAGTGTGTGCGGTACTGGCCAGATGACACAGAGGTGTACGGCGACATTAAAGTCTCCCTGATTGAAACAGAGCCTCTGGCAGAATACGTCATCCGCACCTTCACGGTCCAGAAGGTAAGCTTCCCCCGGCTGTGGGTGGCCGGACCCCTGGGCGCATATGTTTGTTAATTTGTACAAGACATGTGATGGCTCATGGTCACCTTGGTCACACTTGGCACCAGGGCCAATCAGCAATCAAAGTAGACAGGGATCCCGCCCCAGAGGAGGGACAAACAGACTTCACCTGCTAATCAGTGGGATGATGACACCTGGTGATAAGAGCCACAAAGGCAGTGGCCCCTGTAGGTGGAGACAGAAAGCCACAGGAGGGTGGGGTGGTCAAGGAGGGCCTCCCAGAGGAGGTGGCACTGAAGCAGACGGTGAAGAAGGAGCCAGCCAAGGGACGAGCAGGCAGAAAATGGCCCCAGGCAGAGGGGGAAATCATGCAGAGTGGAAGGGAAAGAATACTGAAATGCATTCCAGCTTGTGTAGTTTTGTCCCATTGGGGACATTTGGCAATGCCTGGAGGCATTTTTGGCTGTCACAGCTGGGGGAAGGGCTACATCTGAAGACAGCTGAGGAACCAAGCAGGCCTCCACTACGGGAGGGTCATAACAGGTGCACCCTTGTGGCCATAAGTCAGGTTCCTTAAAAGCAGAGCCCGCAAGGATTCAGTGCAGGTGGACAGGCAAGGAAGTGCTCTCAGGAGAGACTTGTGAGGGAGGGTGGGGAAGGGAGCAGACAAGGACAGTGTCTTTGACAAAGTGAGCGAATCTGGAAGCACAGACCTCTGGAGCAGAAACCACACCACGGAGGTGGCCCCTAGAGTAAGGGAGCTACTTGCACGCCTCCTAGCAATCAGCCCACTGACTGCCAGCTGCCTACTGAGGGCTCACGCCAGAGTGAGCAGGGGCCTGTTGCCTGGGGACACCTGTCCAGGAGAGGGAGCAGATCTGGGTCGCCAGCAGTTGACACCCCACAGCAGAGTTAGCCGCCCCCACGGGGCCCAGAAAGGCCCGTCTCACCTGCCGCACATGAGGTCGGTGCTGGGAACGAGACAGGAGATGGGAATGTGGGCTTGCCCTGTGGGGCCCAGTGGGTAGGAGCCTTGGAGAGGGCCAGCAGCACTGTGCCTTGGGGAGTCCAGCCCTTTCTTGGAGACTTTCTTGTCCTTTGTTGTTTCTTGTACACACTCACGCAGAGATGTGACCTCTAGGGAGCTGCCCTGAGAGACCCCAAGGGCCCCAAAGATGAGAGCAGCTCAGCCATCCTCTGCATGGTGCACAAGCAGCCGGGTTACCAGCTCAGTTTTGCTTGTGGGGAACCGAGAAATAATACACCGGAAACACTGTCTGCCCTTGAAAACAACACAGCCCTGTCAGGGAGAGGGACGCTTGGCAAATAGTCACAGCACGGGTGGCGAGACCTTGAGCCAGGGCTTCTCAGGGCTGAGTTCATCTGAAGGGCGGTGTGAAAAAAAACCCCAGTGTTCTCAAAGCTGGCCTCTCCTCTCCCGTCAGTCAGTTCCTCCGCCGCCCTGTACTCCAGCCCTCGCTTCCCTGGGCTCCAGCGGCCCCCTGGCAAGGTTCTCTGCCTCTGCTCTGCCCCAACTGAGTCAGGGTTCCCGACAGAGCCAAGGTGGGGCTGTGGCTGCCTGGGCTGCTGTGTTGAGAGCTCTGAGGAGGGGGATGGAGCAGACAGGGCAGTTCTGAGGAAGGAGCTAAGCGAGCCTTGGCCCAACCCAGGGCCTGCTCTGGCCAGGCCTGCGCCAGAGAGCTGATCACTTCTTGAGGCAAAGGAGTCTCCTGGGCCTCTCTAGGACAGACCATCATCTTGGTTTGCCCAAGACCCTCCTGGAGGGCAAGTCCCAGGGCGTCCTTGGACCCCCCTAGAGGGCAAGTCCCAGGGAGTCCTTGGAAATATCGCATTTCCAAGCAAGCTGCCAGAGTCGGGGGGCCACCACCATAAGGCTCCTCTGAGTTGGAGGGTGCCAGCTGTCACCCCATACTCAGGAGAGGCAGAGCCTGTGTGCTTCATCTCTGAAGATGGGGTAACTGACATCTGTCTGCAGCCTGCACTCAGAGCAGCTGGGGGATGGGTGCAGTAGCCCAGGAAAGGGCACCTGACTGGACACCCCAGTATCCTCCATCCAGCTCCCCAGCACAAACCCCTGGTCCACACAGCCGCCAGTGTGATCCTCCTAAGATGCAAATCCGATGGTGGCGCCTTCCCCTTGTGGACAGCCAGCTGCAACCTCCCTCAAGCTCCCAGAGCTTTGGGGATCAAGTCCAAAGGCCTTAAAGTGGGGCTCAAGGCCTTCCAGGACCCAGCACCCACCCATCTTCCCACCCCCCCCCTGCCCATTCTTGCATGTCTCCCACTTTCCTCTGGAGCTGCTCTGAGCTGTGTTGTGAATCTGTGCATGCACCCTGCTTGTCTTATCTCCCTGCCTTTACCCAGGCGCCCTCCCTGGCTAGGGATCCCTCCATTTTTCAACTGGGTGATATTCAGGCATCAGTGAGTCATAGTGATTAGGAGTGCAGACTGTGGAGCCAGGCAGCCAGGGTTCAATTTGTGACTTTACAACTTGCTAGTTTTGTGACCTTGGGCATGTTACCCAGCCTTCCTTAGCCTCGGTTTCTTCATCCATAAAAAGGAGATAAAAAAAAAAAAGGAGATAAAATATGAGAATGAGTAGGGACTTTTATATTTCCCTACATCAAAGTGTTTGAAAGAGCAATGGGCACATAGTCAAAACTCAGGTCAGATGCCACCTCGACCAGGAAGCCCTCTCTGATTTCTCCTCCCTCCCCCCATCCGCATTTAGCTGACATTTCCTGATGCACTTTAATAGAAATATTCACTTGGAAGCCAAGCTCTCATACTTGACCAGCTCATAGCAGAGCTGTTCCAGAGACAGGGACTGTGGCTTTCATTTCCACCTTCGTAAGACCTAAAAGACTGGGCACAAACCACCCTGGTGAATATTATTTTAATGAAAGAATGAATAATCACTCTTCCTGTATAATGTCTCTAAATATCTGCAAGAGATTGCTAAGTAAAAGGAAGCAAAGGAAGGGGACATGGGCTGCGTAAAGGTTCAGAGGTGTGACCTGATCTACGGAATAGTCAGGAAGCCACCCTTTGGCCTGGAACCCGTCTACGTGAGGGGTGGGAGGGGGAAACGAGCATGTTCAGCCCTAGCCTTCACCATTCCCCAGTGAGAGAAGCTCGGTTTTTATGTTATATATCTTATAATTCTAAATAAGAATCTAATTAATAAAAAAGCCTGCTCCTCTATTTTTAATTTGAAAGTCACAGAGACTATCATAGAAGAAGCTAAGAAATGAGGAACCAAGATTCAATCTTTTAAAAGACTTTGCATTCCACTGGGAACCACGTGAACTTGGTCTTTAAAACATTTCTCTGAATTCCTTCCATTATATATAAGTTCCATGAGAAACTTGTCAAAAGAGTGTCCTCTGGCAAAAGTGGGGGTGTTAACATGCCCCCAGTGGAATTCAGATCATACATCAGCACAAAGGCTCTGAGAAGTCCTGCGGTGACACAGTCTCTTTACTGCCTCACCTTCCGAAGTTCCCAGCTGTCAAAGATCACAGAGTCACTCCCTGTAGTAACACCTGTTGACCCTCGAGGGCCTCGTCTTCCCTGACAGCAGGGGCGATGGGGGGGCTGGCTCCCAGTGGGTCTCGGGTGGGTCCTGTGGGCAGCAGCTGGAGGAACAGAGGCCCGTTACCTCCTCAGAAAGGCTACCACGAGATCCGGGAGCTCCGCCTCTTCCACTTCACCAGCTGGCCCGACCATGGCGTTCCCTGCTATGCCACTGGCCTCCTGGGCTTCGTTCGCCAGGTCAAGTTCCTCAACCCCCCTGAGGCTGGGCCCATCGTGGTCCACTGCAGGTAAGTGACGGGCCTCCCCTCTAAGTAGCAGAGAAGTGTGAGCACAAGAAAAATAAGCCAGTCCCCAAAGGCAAGCATTCTTCTCCCATTTTACAAGAGGAGGCTGAGATTCGAAGTTAGTCACTAGGAATCACCCAGCAGCGTTGACCTCGGCAGGGTCTGTGGGGACGGGGCTGAATGGGAGGGGCCTCCCCAGGGCTGGTCCTGCCCCAAGTTCCCTAACATAGACCGCTGTCCCCTCTTCAGTGCTGGAGCTGGGCGAACAGGCTGCTTCATTGCCATCGACACCATGCTCGACATGGCTGAGAACGAAGGGGTGGTGGACATTTTCAACTGTGTGCGGGAACTTCGTGCCCAAAGAGTCAACCTGGTACAAACAGAGGTGAGTCTCAGAGGACTGAGCCCACGGCCAGCTGCAGCCCTAGTCAAGGGAAAGCATGAAGGCTGTCGGGAAGGCAGCCCGGAGAAAGGGGTCATGGGAGAAATAGGAGCAAGTGAATTTGTGGCTTGAATGGTGGGGCCAGCCTGGAGTCTGGGTGTCCCTGCCAATCCTCAGGGCCCATGGTGCAGGCATTTCAGCCAGTGACAAGAGGAGCCTTCTCTGAGAGCATGTGAGCATAGACTGAAAGACAGCTTTAAATGGGGGATGGAGAGAGAGAGCTGGCACTTACTGGACACTCCCACGGACAGGCTCTGCCCTAGTCGGGGCAGGAGCAGACTAACCCACAATGTTTTGAGCTCTTGAACCAGGTCCTGGGAATTCCAGAGATTTGGTCCTTGGTAGACAAGGTATTGTTTCTGCTGTTCCCACAATGCCCTGGGGTAACTCCTACCAGAGCCCCCTTTACAGATGAAGATTCACGGAAATTCCCAGCATCTCCCACGGGCAGGTGATGGTAGAGCCTGGTCCGTGTGACAAGGACAGTCTCCTTCCCGGAACCCCGCGCTCCCAGCCGGTGACCGTGTGTGCCTGCCCTAATCCTCAAAGTCATGGTTTGCTGTTCCCATAGCAAGCCCATCTTTGGGTTCTAGTGAACGTGCGCGGGCCCGGCAGATGAGCAAATTCAGCCGTCACTAACCCTGCAAAGGGGTCCGTTGTGTGGAGGTGGATGAAAGCAGACTCTTGGGGCTCCCAGGACAGCGTACAGATGCGGGGTCCCATGCCATATAGCTGACACTGACATGATGCTCTGAACCGATGTTACTTACGTCCACGTGTATTAAATAATAAACCACATAAAATGTTTTAAATCAACTGTGAGGAAGGAGCAAAGAAAAGTGAAAGCTGAGAGAGCCTGGGCAAGACACACGTGTCCCAATGGCTGCGAGTCCCCCGAGTTTTCACTTTTAGCAGCTTGTGCTCACTTCAGTCATCTGCTAGGGACCAGCTCAGCCCTCACTAGGAAATGTGGAAACTGGGCCCTGCGGGTGGCAGGCCAGAGAGCAGTGATTCTGCGGCCAGCCACGCGCTACCCAGGTAGGGGCTGGAGGCTGAGGCCCTGGCGCTCCCCCCCACAGGAGCAGTACGTGTTCGTGCATGATGCCATCCTGGAGGCCTGCCTGTGCGGCAACACCGCCATCCCCGTGTGCGAGTTCCGCTCCCTCTACTACAACATCAGCAGGCTGGACCCCCAGACCAACTCCAGCCAGATCAAAGATGAGTTTCAGGTATGCACAGATCCCGGGGCCCAACCGGCTCTAGGGGCGGGACGTGGGGGTGGGGACAGGGCTCTCGGGGGAGCCACAGGGTCTGTCCGCTCTGGCGTCTGCAGCTCCAGCAGCCGCGGATGCGTCACCCGGGGAGGCCCATGGCTGTGAGGCCCCACTGGTCACTCACGCCTTGATGGCAGACCCTTTGTCGTGATGATTGTGGTTTTGAATGGAAGGCTGACCAGGTTGTGGATAGAGACACATAGATGTGAATTTCATGCTCCTGTGTCAGCTCCTCCCTGCTCAAAAGCGGGGTCCAAAGACAGCTCGTTTCACCTGGTGATGTTAGAAATACAGAACCGTAGGCCTCACCCACACCTACTGCTGCTGCTTCCAGTGCCGTCTGGGTGTCTGTGTGCACGTGAAACCCTGAGAGGCACCTCCCTATGGCAGGTCCGGGCCTCGGAGCCCTGTGGTCAGAATGTGGGTGACTTTGGCCTGGAGGGCGAGGCATCAGTCACTAAGGCAAGGCCAGAGTCCAGCCCATGGTCCCAAGGCCTGTGTCTGGCTCATACCCAGGCGCCAGGAGCTGGGACCAGGCAAGAGGGCACACGGGAGCTTCGGGACTTGAAGGCCAAAGGCTGGGGCTGTCACTCCTTGCGCAGGTACCAGCCAGCCAATCCCACGGCACCCTTCTAACAGTCTGCTGACTCAGGGGAGGACGGGACACGCCTCGGGGGTGCTCGGAGCATCTAGTGCAGCAGCTGGCCCCACCCTGGCGAGGGCACAGAGGCCACAGAATGCAGCCCTGAGACCTCCCTGACTTACGGACCTTCCCTGGGGGTCTCCAGTCTCAGGATCATCCTGAGCAACCTACCTACCCATCCCTCCATCCCCAGTCAGCTTTGTCTCTGAAATAGGTGCTGGTAGGATCATTTCCCTCACTCCATACACGTCCTGTTTATACTCCTGATGGCTTCCCGAGCTCCAAGTCCCCCATGACTCCTGGCTGGCCCAGCCCTGAACGCAGCACTTAGCTCAAAGCGCTGGCATGCTGTACCCATACCTGAGTGTGGCGGCCCCCCTTCTTCTGGACCTTTTGGGGGCCTCACAGCTCTGCCCACAGGCTCTCAGCTCACAGGACTCCTGGAGCAGCCAGGGAGGTGAGGGGAGAGCAAGTTCTGGGGATGGGGCCAGAGGGCTCGACTTGCAGAGAGAAGGGCGGGGTTAGCGAGAGTTCAAACATCAGTCTCTTCTGGCCAACCAGCTAAGCGGTCCCTATCAGTCCATGTTGTTCCCCACAGACCCTCAACATCGTGACCCCCCGTGTCAGGCCTGAGGACTGCAGCATCGGGCTCCTGCCCCGGAACCACGATAAGAACCGGAGCATGGACGTCCTGCCCCTGGACCGCTGTCTGCCCTTTCTCATCTCTGTGGATGGCGAGTCCAGCAACTACATCAATGCAGCACTCATGGATGTAAGCACGGCTTGGCCAGGGAGGGCTCCCGGCTCAGTGCGGGCCTGAGGAGCTTGTTCCCAGGCTCTGACCCCAGCCTGGGCGGCCTCTCCGTGCCTATCACGGTCCCCAGCACCTGTCCTCCCCTGCAGGCTCAGACCAACCAAACCTATTTGCAAGCGGTGCTCATGGCTCTTTTGCTCCCAGAAAGCCTAGTCAGAAAGGCCAGAAGCTGGAAATTCTCCCTGATGCCACCAGGAGACTATGGGGCTGCACAGCCCCTCCCCTGCTGTCTAGAGGGCTGACTCGGCCCTTGTGCGGTCCGGAGCACCCTGCAGGCCAGGCTGGCCTGGGCCCTGGCAGCACTGGTGCCACATCAGAATTCTGTCCCCAGGAGCCCACACGCGTCTCAGAGGCAGCAGTGGCGATGGCGCCCGGTGGGCGCTCAGTTAATGACGATGGCTGAGTGGCGGGCGTGGGAGCAGAGTGTGTTCCCCACCACTCTGCAGAGACTCCACCCCCCCAGTTTGTCAGCACCAGGCCCACCCCAGACCTGCCAGACCAAGCGTGGGGTTCAGCGGTCCCAGGGACATGTGACTTTACGCTGCTTCTGGTTGTCATCCTCCAGCTCTGCAGTGCAGAGGTATTTGCACAGGAAGCAGCCCTGGTCATCCAGACTCATCTATCACCTTGTAGCAGAGGAAATAGAGGCCAGAGAGGGAAAGAGACTCACTCGCCATCAAGTGAGAGCTTGCGGCACAGCCAGAATCCAGAGCTCCTGGCTCAGACTCTTGATTTCTTTCCTTGGGCCTCCTGCAGCGGGCTCCCCCCAGTGAAGTGTAGCCATGTGCCCCTGAGGCTTTGGGTCTGATTTCGAATGAGCCCCACGAGCCCCCTCCTCAGACATGTCTGAGGTCACATCCATCCGGCCGCTTTGGCCTCCCTTCTCCCCCAGAGCAAGCAGGCGCACGGGTGTGCGCACCTGGTGCAAGGTCAGCTACCTCTGACCTCTGACCCTTCTGAGATTTTGTCCCCCAGTGCCGTGTTGGAGGCCGACAGGTGATGAGAGGTCAGTGCCTGTCTCAGCTCAGCGGGGACCTGCCCTGGCCTCTGCCCACAGTATGTCATCCTTGGGAATCTTGGCTCCGGAAGCGGAGCTTCTTGTCCTGCTCAAATCAAAATGCTGGAGGTGGAGAGGAGGCCTCTGGCTTTGATGCAGGGTCAGTGGGAGTGGGGGTGACTGGCAGGGTTTGGGGTGCACTCATTCTTCCAAGCTCCTCCCAGCTGTGTTTCTACTTGTCCCAACTCCTCTCCCCACCTCCCTCTTCCACACCAGGATCAAACCAGCTCCTGGCCTCTGCTTAGTAGGTTAGATGCCGCCTGCAGTCAGATGCTTTCTGCCAGTTCTGCTGCTGATTGTATTCTCTCTGTCCACAGGGCATTTCTCTTGTGAGCCATCACTGAAGCCTTTGCCTTTCTTACACACACACACAAAAAGTCCTTATCTGTATTCCAACTCAGTCTGTGCATTATCTGGTAACCATAGCAGCTTTGCTCCTAGCAGAAAAATATGAAGTCCTCTGGGTTAATTTTTAATGTTTCCCCTGGTAAAGGATGATGTTATCCATGAAATGGATTGCCGGCTGATCCCTGAAACCCGGCAGGAGCACGGATCTCGAACATATTTTCAGATAAGGCTTTGTCAGGCATGCTGGCCTAATAGAGCATTTATCACAGAGACAGGAAAAGGGAGAGAAAACTAACATTCACCGAGTGTTGGGCGCCATGTCAGGCCCTGACTTACACTGTGTTGCTCTCATTCACTGGTATCATCTCCATTTTCTAGCTGAGGCACAGAAGGGGGTGTTTCTCCATGGTTATCTCCAGATCAGCCAGCTCAGAAAAGGAGTCGGGGTCTGGACGCCAGGCGTTTCGACTCTTAAAACCTAGACGCTTGTCCTCATCTGCACAGGACTCAAAGATCTGCTTTTGCAACTGGAGTTTGGCTTTCAGGGAAAGGAGACATTCTGGCCTCTACCTCCCTCCTCTGACCATCACTTTGGCCTGGGAAGACCCTGGAGACAGAATCCCCATTCACATGCACACCCACAGAGCAGGGGCTTGGGTGGTTGGCTGGTTGGGTGGCCATAGGCACTGGGGTCTTCTTGGCAGGCGGTGTCAAGGTCTTCACCCAGCTTGAAGGGTCCTACACCCCTTTTCCGTCCCACCTTCGTGCTGACGTGCACCACCACTGGAAAAGCCGTGGTTTCCATAGGAGCCATCTTCCAAGGAAGCTTTTCGAGAAGAGGGGCTGTTTCCCGGGTTTCCCAAACCGCTAACAGAGAGAAGCAGCCCCAGCGTTTTCCAAGCCCCTGTCACAGCTCCCTGCAACTAACAGGCTCAGTCTAAGCCTCTGATGTGGTCCAGACCCGCACAGGCCCCCAAGCCCCCCATGACTCAGCCTTAGTGTAGTCATTTGTCTGCTGGAGGTTCTGTGCCCCACTGTGTGCCAGCCACGTGCTGGTGCTGGGGACGAGGAAGCCAGGTGGGGATGTCTCCAAGGCCACCTGGGCTCCCGGTTTGGTGGCTGGTCTTTTCACCACATCTCATTCCATGCTTTGAAGTTACAGTTCCCAGTTTCAGATGAAGAATCTAGAGAGATGCGATCACTTTCCAGTGCCTAGCCCAGGTTTGGGGGAGGGCGGGCCCATCACTGCTACTGAAGCTCGAAAGAAAGAACCGTTGAATAAATGGATGGGCAGGCGGGCATGTGAGTGTGGATGGCGGAGCGTGGCAGATGGGTGGGTGAGAACGTGGAGATGTTCGGCTGGCTTATAGCCTTCCAGTGGCAAAAATGAGCTTGAACCACGGGGCTGCCTGACTCCCAAACGCGGCCCCTTCCACAGTCCCAGCTTAGGTTCACAGAGTCTGTCTTCAAACAGATTCATTAGCCCTCACTCAAGGCTCAGGACAGGAGTCCCTCCTCCAGAGGCTGTGCTCAGGCTGAGCTGGGCCCTCTCTGGCATCGAGGGTGCAGGGACACAGAACACCCCTCTATCCCAGGAGGTGTTGTGGTCTGTAGAGCCGCAATCAGCATCCCAAATCTTTCACTATGTGTTGTGATGATAACTATTTGCAGAGCTCCGAGACATAGTTTATTTGAATAATCCCCATCTGAGTGACACTTTCCTAATGAAATGTCTTATTTTGGAGGAGAATGAGTTCATGATGAGAAGGTCCCCTTTGCCGCCAGGGCACCCAGAATGACAGGACAGGCAGGTGCCGTGTGTCATCGATTTGGCAGCTGGAGGGGCCTCTGGCAGCCGGCCAGGCCCCATCATCTTCAGAACGTCGCTGACGGACGTGTATTTTAGGAAGCCGTGTTGTTCCTTTGTCAGAGCCACAAGCAGCCTGCCGCCTTCGTGGTCACCCAGCACCCGCTACCCAACACCGTGGCGGACTTCTGGAGGCTGGTGTTCGACTATAACTGCTCCTCCGTGGTGATGCTGAACGAGATGGACACTGCCCAGGTAGGAGAGGGCCTGGCGCCGCCCTGGGTGCTGGGGTGCGTCCAGGCAGCAGGATGGGAGCTGGAGAAGGAGCCCTGAGAAGGCAGCTTGGCCTCCGCCCACGCTTCTGCCCCCTGCCAGGCACTGTCTGCCTGTGAGCTGCAAGCACCTGCACTCTGCTGCCCACAGAGGCCAGGAGGGACCTCCCCCGGGCACCGCTGGCCTCAGCTGGCATTGATGCCCCTGTGGGCCTTGTGATAGCCCTCCCGGCACCAGACTCAGCTGCCCTGTCCCCCGCAGTGGGGGGCTGGAGCTCTTGCTCTGAATCCTGTGACGCTCACAGTGCCGGAGGCCCCCTTTCCTAGCTCTGATCTCTCCAGCCCTGCACACTGTCCTGGTGCCTGGTTGCAGGGACCCGGCCTGCCTCCTCTGTGTGCCCCTGTGCGGGCAGAGCCGGGGCTTGGGCCTGGAGCCCTTTGCCCGCCAGCCACGCCCGCCCTGACTTCACAGAAGAGCCTTGCAGCAGGTCTCATTCCTGCACCCCCAAGTGTGACAGCTGCAAGCATCCTGTGCGCCCAGCACATGCACCCCCACAGTCACGGGGCAGTTTCTGGTGTGCTCACCCCCTTGACAGTCAGCTATGCTGGGGTGGAAGTGAGACGGGCCTTTTGGGTTTTTGCAAAGCAATCCCGTCAGTGTCTTGAAGGGAACTCAAAGGAACACGTTCCTGTGTGAGTGCCGGCCTTGTGCGGGAATTGGGAAATAGATCTGAGCCGTGGTCTCAGCACTCCGGGAGCTCGCAGGCCTGCTACAGAGACAGATGAGCTAAGTGTCCCAACCCCGTACACGGTACTATAATAGAGGTCAGCGGCAAAGTGCTGTGCTGGCCCGGAGCAGGGAGCAATTAATTCAGCCCCGAGGGTGAGGGAAGACTTCAAAGAGAAGGTGACTTTGGCCTTGAAGAAGACAGTAGAAATTTGGGTGTGTGGAGGATGAAGGAGCCAAAAAAAAGCAACCCAAGCAGAGGGAACAGTGGCGTGAAGGCTGGGTGGGCTGGGTGCAGGCTTGTCTGCAGAATAGCCCCAGATTCAGGGTGCTGGGTGTCAGGGGTGCCAGGAGAAGAGGCAGCTCACACTGGAAATGCACAGGACATTTTGCAGGGGCTGCCCATGCGGGCTGATGGGTGGGCCCTCGCCTGCTGCACAATACCTGTCGGACTTTTACTTTGTAGGCAACAGAATCCTTTGACCCAAAGCTTCCAACAAGCCAGTGTGTGAAACCAGTATGACCGAGAACTATCACAAAGCCGGGGTGGGGACTGGGTGCTCCACAACCCTGGTCACTTAGCATCTCCTGGGGCCCCATGGAGAGTCAGCCACCCTGGAGACCTTTGTGGAACCCTTGGGGTTCCTCGGAGCATGGTTCAGGAACACTTGCCAGGCAGGGAGCAGAGACACTGGCAAGTTTCACAGTGGGTGGCATAGCCAGCGTTCTGTAGGAAGCTGAGCAGGGGGCAAGTGAGGAGGAAGAGCTTTAGGGAAAACCTGGCAGCCCTGAGACTGAGAACATTGCAAATGTGCAGAAAATAAAGGTGATGATCTGGTCGAGGAGATGACCAGGAGGCAGGAGAGTGGAGGTCAGAAGCAAAAAGCTTTCCTGGAGTTGAAGTCTCCGGTAGCGGCAACGGGATGTGGAGGTGAATGAGAAGTCGAGGCTGGTGGCTGGGCACTCCCTGGGCAGTCAGTTGTCTGGGGTGGGACTGGCAGCTGGGCGTGGGAGAGGAAGCCAGAAGGCAGGTTGGGGGGGGGGTGACACTACTGCAACTTGGGGTGTGCAGTGAGACCCCACTGGGGAGCTCCATTCATTCTTTCCACCTTGTTTGTTGTGTGTCTGCGCTTGGCCAGAAGCTAGTCTAGGTCTTGGACATCACTGAACAAGACACAGAAAGCAAAGCAAATGATTCTCATCTCCCGTGCAACTTCCGTTGTATCATGGGGGGACAGCACACGTCCTGTGATTACGGACCGCATGTTAGAGGTGACGAGGGTGTGGAAAAGGGATAATGGCGAGCAGGGCAAGGAAGGGTGAAGACTGGTATGGGCCTGGGATGCCACCCTGTTCCTTTGCTTGAGAAAGTAAGATAGCGGACTCTGCCCAGGAGTGAAATAGAGCCTGAAAAAGCCCATTTGGTTGTCCCTTTTTGCAAAACCAGAGCTCAGACACAGAGATGGTGTTTCAAAGACCCTCCCTTGGGGACATACACAGAAGCAAGGGTCAAGGTCGTTGGCTAGAGCGCCCCTTCCGGTATGGGCTGGGGTGAAGGAAGATCTTTTGGCCCCAGATGTTGGTACAACTTTTGGGAATCGATGCTCTAAATGCAAAAACATCAGGCTTAGAAGTGCCCGAGGTTGGCTGCTATATGCAGCTGGCACGCATCCCCTGAAATCTGCAGATGAATAGAGCACTTATTGATATAAATATCATCACCGCAACAGCTGGGCGCCTCGCGAAAATAAACAGTGCCACTGTGTGCGCATCAGAAGAGCCGCCCTGGGCACCTGGAGAGGCGGCTCTTTGAAGCGGCATCAGCATTTGTCTGCCAGTTTGCCTATGCCAGGCAGCCATAGCTGCAGCCAGCCCAGAGACACGGACAGTCTGATTAAGTCCCAAGCACCCCCAAATCGCTCCCAAGGGCGCCAGTGCACAGCCTGCACTTAGAGTAGGGATTTGGGTTTGGTTCAGGTTAGCGCAGGACCATGTAATTTGTAGCAAAGTGCAGTGAACAGAGAGTGAGAGATTGCCAAGTGCTTTCTTTTCTTGCCCTGCTGGCCAAAGCTGTCTGCCTCTACTCAGAACCCAGTACTTCTTCACTCAACCAGCCACCTCCAGCCAAAGACAGCCTTCCAATCTCTGTAGTGACTGCTGTTCAGAGGTAGCTGGGAGCAGTGGGAGGCTCAAGACAAAGACCCTCATTGGAACATAGAGATTTTTCTAGCGCTTTTGGATTCCAGAGACCTGTGGTCAGATTAGTCAAGCCCAAATCCTTGCTCTTCAACATTCAGCAAATGGCTGTGGTTTAACAACACCAATGGCATTGACAAGATCTCAAGCTTTGCGGACTCTGCGGTTAGACCAGAGCCCCTGGGGAGCAGGCACCAGAAAGCCCTCTGTGGTCAGCTCAGGAGGCCCTCAAGGTCAGCCACGGAGTTGTCTCCGGCAGGTGGAATCACGACCTCCCAAATGTCTACATCCTGATTCCAGGGCCTGTAAATGTGTCCTCTCACATAGCAAAAGGGCTTTGCTGATCCTGAGGCCTGTGGGTTGATCTGGGCTCTGTAGGTGGACACAAACATCCTATGTAAGGGGAAGCAGGGGGATGAGGGTGTGATGCCAGGTGACAGAGGAAGCAGAAATTGGAGTAACAGGAACACAAGTCAGAGAATACTGGCAGCCTCTAGAAACTGGAAAAGGTGAAGAGAGCGTTCTCACCTCGACACTCTGGAAAAGGATGCAGATAGCTCTGCTGACATCTTAAGCCTAACCCCTTAATATTCACTTCAATCTTCTGACCTCCAGAAGATCAATTTGTGTTGTATGAAGCCACAAAATATGTGTTAATTTGGTACAGCTGTTATAAGAAACTCAGACAGGCAGTAAACCTGAAAACAGAAATCCAGACCTAGAAGCTAATAGGAGCGGAGAAAAATCAGAGAAAAATCACAAAAATGGCCAGAATCGGCACTGGTGTTAGACTAGAGCTGTGTTTGGGCTGGAGGAGTTCACATTCGAATCATGTCCCTGAGGAGCCATGAGGGAGCAGAGCCAGAGAGCCAAGGGGAAGGAGGATGCCCACTCGCTCACCGCAGGAGGCTTCCTGTGAAAGGTCAAGGTGTATACTTACTGGGCCACATTCGATCACTCAGTCGTCAGCAAACACCAGGGTGGGTTCTTGGGACTTAGACGTAGCAAAATGGAAGAGGCACAGCCATCTACCCTGTCCCCATGGGGCAGACATGCTGGTGAGATAATACCCTCTTCGCAGACCATATTTGACGTGGACAGGGTGGGTTCATCTTTGACTAGAGCCATCTGACCAGGACCCTGGAGTGGTAGGAATAAGCTGGCCCAGAAGCAGAAGTGGAGAGAGCAGGTGTCCGCAGCCTGTGACATTGGTCTGTGGACAGCTGCGGAGGAATCTAGGAGGTGACCACTGCTCACCATCCCTCTAGCCTGGAGCTAGGTGTCGGGGTCATTGAAGCCAGCGCCCATTCTTCTGTCTTCCTACATAAGTGCCAAGCCTTCAGAATAGGGGATTATTCCGAATAATAGGGAATATTCTCTCCAAGTATTCTACCAGCCGCGTTGGCGTGACCTCTGAGTTTCTTCATACTTGCCGTTCATTGCGGGGAATATCCATTTCTTTGCTTAAATCTTAGGGATATGATCATCTCAAGTGTTCTCTAGACCTTTCGGTATTTCCCATTTTCCCTCTGTGGATATACTATTTTGAGGTATTTTATTTCCCCAACTATGTATATTTACTAATTAATAATGAGTTAACTTTCTCGTATTTTTTCCACAAATTCACTGCTATGATGAACTTCTGATCATCAGGGCAGAGCAAAGCTAACACAGAAGATGCTCTGATTGTAACCCTAAGTTAGAAGCTGGGTGACCCCGCTCCAGGGGAGCAGTGCAGCCTCCACCCACCCCAGTCCCCGGTGCCTTATAAAAACTTTGGAGAGCGCTCGGTGGTTTCTGCCACCTTCTCGGGCCCCCAACCCCTTGGAAACCACGGATCCGTGAGGGTCATGACCCTCATGGTGCAGGTCAGGTCCAGAAGCTGAGGCCCAGGCAAGAGGCGGGATCTTCCCACACTCCCACAGCCTGTCACGGATTCAGGCCCAGGGCCTCCTGCCAGGGAGGAGGCCACCTTTCTGCCGCCATTTGAGAAACAAGATTCCCACAGCCTGCCTGAGAAGCACAGGCTGCTGCTGGGGCTGGTCTGTGGAGCAGGAAGGATTGTGCTTTTGTTGAAACGAACAAGCATTTGTTGTGTAAAAGCTGGGTCTCCCACTTCTGGAAGTGAGAGAGCCAAGCGTTTTGTCCTCTCAGGAGAAAAGTGGGGGTGATGTTTCGGAGATGCCTTTTCCTGTCATTGTGTCTGCAGGGCAAATAACAAGTATTGATGTCCCCACTTTCATCTCAGCTTGTGAAAACACAGCTTCATGTGTTAGTAAAATAGGGGCACAGGACTGAAATGCAAGGCCGGGATTCCTGCCTCAACCTCACTGGAGAGTGGGGTCACAGTGGAGCCAGGAGTCCAGGGTGAGGAGCCCTGAGATCTCCCTCAGCGTACTTGATGTACTGGTTGACACTCATTCCTCAACCTGTCCAAGTCTCAGTATTAAATTTGCGTAACCCAACATCAGCCAAATTCATGCTGTCTTTGCAGATATAAATAAAAATGGGTTCTGTGTCCTGTTCCCCAGCCCATGGGAAAGTGCACTGTCCACGCCCAATCTGGGGATTGTAAGGGAGCCCTGTTTTCACTTCCAAGTTCCAGCTCAAGCTTTCACGGATCCATAGGGGATCCCGCCCCAGCAAATCCCAGAACTGAAGGTGGAAATCTCCCTCCTCCTGACCTCTGGGGGTGGCATCATAACAACCTCTCTCCCCGACCCTGCTGTTGCCTAGCCACGCTCCTCTCTCTGCCTCTCCTCCTATGCCCCTTTGCATCTCTGCCAGGCCTGTCCCGAAACGTGTTGCTTTCCTAAGCTGCACCATTGATTCCTTTAACATCTCTTGCCAAAACCTGTCTTCTGCCCACCCCACCCTCTTCTGCAGACTGTCTCCTAGACTACCCTCTCGCCCTTGCCACAACACACCTGGTTACAGGCATCCCGAGCATAAGTTTCCACCATGACATGGAGATGGCATCGTTCGCCTCCTGGGCCATCAAGGGGATAAACTGAGGCTCGGTGTGGGGCGCCTGGCTCCAGCACGCACACCTTCCCCACTGTGTCCCCTCAGTCTGTTCCTTAACCTGCCCCAGTAGTAAGGCCAATGTGAAGGCCATGTCTTTGCCTCTTTATGGAATCAGTGCGAGAGGGTTTTATAATCACCGATTGGAATTTTAAAAACCAATTCAGATGACATCGTTTTCTCAAAAAATACTACCTTGCTTCACCTTCAGGTGATCTGGGAGGCGCCCCCTTTCCCCTGGCCCCCCAGCCATGGATCAAGGGACCTTGACCGAATCAGGCTGTCTGAACTGTGCTACCTTCAACTTTACTCTTTTATCAACATACTTTTAATTAACAAAGTTATAACTAAGGTGCACTGAAATGCACTTTGAAGTTTCTTCCAAAAATGAGCCCATATGGTAGTTCCCACTCAGCTCATCAGAGCGTGTTTATTCCAGTGACTAACAAGCTTTCTGACTCCATCAGCAAGGAAAGATGTGCAACAGTGACGCGCCCTCCATTTGTTGTATTTTGAGTGTGAACTTGGAGCCCAAGGACACCTTTGGCCCAAGCAGCCTCGGGGCTCACTGGGTGGAGTAACATGGAGCAGCTGTTCCAGACCCACCACAGGGGCTTCATGGCTCTCTCTTGGTCTCGCTTGTGCTGACGATACACAGCAAAGGGGCTTCTGTCTCCCAGAAGCAGCCGGGCCATTTAAAATCATCGGCAACAGCCAGGCCGGCTTCCCGCACGGTGTCCTCCAGGCTGGCCTGGGTGTCAGCAGTGGCTAACCCCCCTCTCCACACCCCAGAAAACAAGGCCCCTCCCCAGACTGTCGGACTAGGAGTAGGTGAAGCAAGGACAGGCCTGGATCCAGGTTCTAAAGCCCTTTGGGTCTGGCTTGTTCTTAGAGACGTCCCTGCGAGGTTTCATCTGAGAAACACCAAAGTAGCATCAGGGAATCTGGGCCCCAGCTCAGCTGAGTGCTTATGAGCCAACTAGGCTTCCTTGAACCCACGTCCACGGCTTCCAGAAACATAAGGCCCTGCCCCCAAGATTTCCATTAACTGCTGGTTTTGGGGCACACCCGGCCGACTCCTCACTCACACCTGTGGTCTCGCCCCAAGATGGCATCAGCCCTGGAGCCAAACTCAGTTCCTCGCTCTCGCTCCTGCTTCCGCTCTGCTCCAGACTTTCCTCTTGGCTTCCTCACTGCTGTCCCGCTGGCCCAGCTGGATCAGCGTGGTGTCCAGGGCTTGGGGAACCGGCAGGTGCCTGGCAGCTCCGAGAGCTAATGGCCTGCACGTCACTGGCCAGACGGGCCCTCGAGGTTGCTAGTGTGATCTCCCAGCATTAGGGAGCACAAGCGAAAGGATGACTGTGATTTAGGATTAGAAGAACCCTGCGACCTTCCTCAGCCCTCTGGGCCTGTGACCTGGAAAATCAAATGCAGAGAAGTGTCCCGAAATAGGAGTCTTGTGTGAGGCATGGTAGAACCCATTAGCTTGAGAAATTGGTCTGGAAATCTTATTAAAAGAGACAAATCATTCTGCATTCTCTCCAGACTGAAAATATTGGGGGTAATAGACTTTCCCTGATGCCTCGGACCCATGTCCCTCGTGTCAGGATCACAGCCAGCCCCTGCCGAGGCAGGTGATAAAGGCAATTATTTTTTTTTTAATGGGCAGTTCTGATTAATTCTGATGTCTCTCGCCAGCCCCGGACTTATCTGTGCTAGCTCCTTATTACTGTGAAGGTTGCCAAGCAGAAGAGCCAATGGCAAAGAGAAATGAAGTTCAATTTGTGGATTTGTCATTACTGTTCAGTTCAGCAGACGGTTGTCCAGTCGTGGGGACCCCTGTGCAGCCCCCCACCAGGCGCTCGCATTCACGCACACACATTAGCTGAGCGCGCAAGCATCCGCTGCCTCACGCAGCTTTCCCCTGCACTTCTTTGCTATTTTTGAGTTCTGATAAGAATCCTTCCAATGTATATTTTGGCTGTCATGATTGTAGCGCTTATTTCTTTGTGGGCCCTGACAATTTCAGTAATAATATGCATTTCTGGGATTCGGTGTATGTGGTACCACCCTGGCTCGGAGCTACGAGCATGAGTCACAAGCATTATCTGCTCTGTCCTCAGAACAAATCCACAGGAAAGGGGGTGACAAGCTTTCAGTGTGAAGAACCAAAAAGGAAATAGTTAGGGCTTCGCAAACTGGGTGGTGGTTGTCACTGCTCAACTCTGCCCTGGTCGCGGGAAAGCAGCGCCAGACAATTTAGGAGTGAATGTCTGGCTGCGTTTTCAATAAACCTTTATTGACAAAGTAGGCAGCCCTCAGACTTGGTCTGTGTGCCTAAGGCTGCTGAAAGTGAATGATGTTACCGCACCGCTGGAATTTGGGCTCCACAGGTTGGAAAGTGGGAGACAGATTTTTCTCTCTTCTACAGCCTCCCTGCTCCCTGCTCTTCCTTCCTGGTTCCACTTCTGGTGGAAAGACATCTTCCAGGGTGAATTGACAAAGGGGAGCGTGATTGTTTTCTTGGAAATCCTGCTTCTCGGCCGCCATGAAGGCCACTGAGTTCCCATAGGTCACCTCTAGGTCTTTGACTGAAATCTGGGGGTACACATAGCAGGCCCAAGTGGTGAGACATTCAATCCCAAGCTGCTCCCCGAGCCATGGTGGGTCTTTGTAAACCCCAGCTGCACCTTCTGGACACCCCTAGGAGGAGGGCCTAGCACATGGCCTCTCTATCCTTGTTGGGGTGGTCCTGAGCCTGCAATCAACATATTGTCAATTCAACATTAGCTCTCCTCTGCACCCCAACTCTGGGTCCCAGAGCCCTGGACAGGATCCATTCCACACCCTTTGGGCAACAGGAATTTACCTGAGCAAGCCTGCACTCTCTGCGCTCCTGCCACCTACCCCATAGTCTCTCCCTGACTAAAGTCTGTAGCGGTTCATCAGTTCCCCTTCATGATAATACCCAGAGACTTAAGGAACAATCTGTGATCTTAGGCCAGAGCTTCTCAGTCTGTGTGCTATGGCATTCAGTGCCGGATTGCTGCAGAGAAAGGTACTCACGCATTAACGGGTGCCCAGCCCACCTCAGCCTCCATTCGCGAGATGCCATGACAACTCCCAGTGTAACAACCCAAATGTCTGCAGACATGGTCAAACGTCCACAGACTGACTACACCACACGGGTGAGGACCCTGCCTTAGACTGAGGGATAACTATTGTTGCTTATGCTCAGCTGTGCATTCTAATTCCTACTTCCAAAAAAAATAATAATAATAGGGAAAATCACAAGCCAGATCCTCAGTAACAGGCCATATTCTCTCTGGTGCAAGGAAATGTAATGACCCCACTTGACATGTGAGAAAACTGACACTTGTGAGACACAGACAGCGAACAGCAAAGCCTGGATTGGGACCTAAGGTTACTTGATGCCAAAGTGTGTGTGTGTGTGTGTGTGTGTGTGTGTGTGTGTGTTTATGTATCATGAGACAAACACAGTGGAGGTCTTCCTGGAATGAGGAAAAGTTACCATGACTTGTATTAATGAAAAGAAAACGAGAGGTTGTACTTTCCCCTCCCTAAGAATGTTCTGTCCACACCCAAGTGTAGTGTTCCACAGTAGGTATTATTCTGCCCAGTTTCCAGGTAAGCAACCTGAGACCCAGCCTCTGTGGATTGAAATGCACAGAGCAAAGACTTTGAAGCCCAATGTCTATGTATTCAGAGCTTGGATTTTCCAACAGCTGAAAAACTGGGTGGTGGCTGCCCACAGGGGCCACGGAGGCTTATTTCCTACATAGAGCTCTACCTTTCCAGCAAGTGTGTCCTGCAGGTGGGAGAGAGAGGCCACTGTGGCCTCTGCCCTTGGCCTCTGCCGTGACCACCTCTCTTGCCCTAGCTCTGTATGCAGTACTGGCCCGAGAAGACGTCGGGATGCTACGGGCCCATCCAGGTGGAGTTCGTCTCTGCAGACATTGATGAGGACATCATCCACAGAATATTCCGCATCTGCAACATGGCTCGGGTAAGTGGACGGCTGCCATTGCTCCCCTCTCCCCAAGCAGATGGAGGGTCCTGCTTGCCAGCAAGTGTGTGCGTCTGCTCTCCCGATAATCTCGTCCTGGGGGAGGCGGTGCCATGGCTGATTCCAGCTCCCGAGCCAGCAATGGCTGCAACACTCGGATGCGTCAGAAGACGCCCCACCAGCCATCTGCCTGTTCCCTAACGCTTGCCGTAGACAAAACATATAGCTAAAACTTCTCAGAAGTCAGCACCTCTCCACTGGGTCCCATTGTTTAGCCTTCGTCTTTGACTGCATCCAGTAAGGTTTTGGGCTAGATCCTGGGAAAACCGAGATGGGAAGGAATTTGGAAAGGAGATTCACTGGCCAGGTGGGGGATGGCATGAGGGGAGCATGGAGGGAGAAGGAACAGTTAGTAACTCTGAGTGGCAGCTAACCAAGCAGCTTTCTTGGGAAAGCAGGAGCAACAGGCCTGAGTCCCTGCCTACCTCTGTGAAGGCGAATATGATGTGGTACATGGAGGACTTCGGGGAGGGAGATGAACTCTACCCAGTAGTCAGGGAAAGCTTTTCTAGAGAAAGGGACTGTGGGGTTGGGATTTAAAGACTGAGTAGTTGTTTTCCAGGTAGAGAAGGAATGTCCGCAGTCAAGGCAGGAGAAGCAGCATGCAGAGGCCTAGAGGCGGGTCTGTCGCTGTCCCACGGGCACTTGGCTTAGCCCGTGTAGTCGGCCATCTGCTGCTGTTGCTGCAGCCCAAGGTTCTGGAGCCTTCCATCCCCGCCAAACCACCCTAATGGCCCTCTGCTCTCAGCCCCAGGATGGGTATCGCATAGTCCAGCATCTGCAGTACATCGGCTGGCCCGCCTACCGGGACACACCACCCTCCAAGCGCTCTCTGCTCAAGGTGGTGCGGCGGCTGGAGAAGTGGCAAGAGCAGTACGATGGCCGGGAGGGACGTACCGTGGTCCACTGCCTGTGAGTACCGGGAGGGTGCCAGGGCAGCGTGGTGGACAGGCCATCCGGGAACCCCACCGGCTGCAGAGAGCACCTTCCTTGGAGGCCAAAGTGTATGTCTTCAAGGAATAAAGCCTGTTGCCCTGAACTGTTGTTTTATAACCAGTCACAGACACAAATCCTGGAGGACTTTCCATAAATGCAGGGGTGAAGAGGAGTACTGGGGGAGTCTTCATGTGCCCTACTGTTTTTTGTTAAGATTTTATTTTTGCATAGAAGAGCTGGGGTGTAGGCCAGAGGTGCCTGGGTGAGAGGATTCACCAGCCGGAGTGGGGAGCAGAACAGGTAGATCTCAGCAGCAGGTGAGACAGGAGAGGTCTGCCATTCATGTGGGTCAGCTCCCTGGCCAGGGATTGAAGTCAGGCCAAGGCGGAGATAGTGCTGAGCCTTAACCACCAGGGAGGCCCCAGCCCCACTAATCTTAAGAAAGCTTAGGGAGATGGGGGCTCCAGTGACTAGATACTCCTGTTGTTTCCTGAAGGAAAAAAGAGGAAAAGGAAATACACTAATTCAAAGAGTTTAATGTCATTTTAATGAATGAATGTCTACTTCACAGAGGGAATGAGCTATCAGGTGATGAGAAAACAGAGGCAGAGGCACAGGACAGGGAGGGGTCGGGCCATGATTGAGCGGAGCCGTCATTTGAATCCGAGCATTTGTGCTGTCTATTAATCCCATGTACTCTGAGGAAAACCACAGGACTCGCCTGCTGGCTGCTCGGCCATCTCCCATCTTATACTACTATTGGGAGGGTGGGGGGGGAGAATGTGAGAGCCAGGGATAGGCCCCATGGAGGGGCCCTGGGAGCAGGCTTTCCCTGGCTTGAGCCAGCCATGTCATCACTTCCTTTCCTGGGTGAATGGAGCTGGTTCCGCTGGCCACAGACTGGGCTGAGCCAGCACCCCCAGTCAGACGGACCCTGAGGCCACTTGCAGGGTGGGCATCAAGACCCTTCGAGGACAATGGCCGACAAACTGTCAGCAGGGGAGAAAGAAGAAATCATCACTGAATTTGGTGAATCTCGATTTTGTCATCTGTCCAAGGGGTGTGTTGACTTAGATCTTCACACTATGGTGCTGTTGCCTGAATAGAAAATATGACTCCTGAACAAATTCTTTAATGTGACCTTTATTCACTAAAGATCATTGAGCATTCTATTGAGTTTTTTTTTTTAATATTTTTATTGGTGTCTTTGGCTCACAGCACTGTATATTTTAGGGTCATATGTTCATGCTACCTGCACATCTCTCTCCCAAGCATTGATGATCATTCATCATAGTTCATGGGACACCCCCCCCCCAAACACCCCCTTCTGTCTATACCTCCCTACTCGTTGGTAAAATGAGGTTTCCTTGAGTATATATGCAAAGCATTATTAAAGTGACACCCCAGATTCATTTAAAAGCAATTTATGGGACCTAATGGTTGTGTAATTAAACAGTGTTACGTATCCCTTTTGAAGTGCTGTGACTACTACTTAGCTAATTAAGTACATGTGGCCCTACTGAGCTTGATATTCAAGTCCTGCCAATCTTGTTTAAAGCTCTAGCTCCTTAAGGGGTATTACAAACCAGACTCAGTCGGGAGCTTCCCCGGTGGCCTAGGGGGTTAAGGCTTCAGTGCTATCACTGCTACGGCCAGAGTTCGAGGCCCCCTCTAGGCCTGGGAGGTTAACCACCTATAGTGCAGCAGGCCAGTATTTCCGTCTGCTGCGTGCGTGCGTGGGGCGTGCGTGCGTGCGTGGGGCGTGCGTGCGTGCGTGGGGCGTGCGTGCGTGCGTGGGGCGGAGATGCACAACAAGCCCGCCCTGCCTCAAGAAACATCTGGACATTTGCCTCCAGACTTCGGTTAGCCACAGGCCATTACATGAAATCATTAGTTGCTCTTGGCAACATGCCCAGGAGTTTCAAGTCAGGCAGATTCCTAAGGGAGGCTGTCGAGGCGGTTGCAAGGGTATTTCCTTGAAGATGACTTCTGACTTTCTATGGACCAGAGGAAGGAACGGTACAGCCCCTACCTGGAGCCTGTATCCCTCTTTTCCGGAATCTTGCTAAGTCAGGCTCTGCCTGCTTGGGGCTGGGCTGGGTTCGGGTTCCTATGCCATGGTGGTGGTGTGGATTCACAGAACCAAGGAAACCCTCACACTAAGGAAGCTCTCAGAGATCACCATTATGTGGGTGAGCTGGGGGGAGCTGGGGGGCGCAGACAAAGTGTCGTCCAAGGTCCATGGTGCTGACTGAGAACACGCTAAACCATCACTTGTGACCCAGGACCCCGGCTCCCCGCTCCTTCTTTGGAGTGCCAGAAGCAGCTGCACTGGAGTCAGAGGCTGTACTGGAGTCAGAGGCCACTCTGGAATCTGACGCTCTGTCCTCTGTGTCTAGAAACGGGGGAGGCCGCAGCGGGACCTTCTGTGCCATCTGCAGCGTATGTGAGATGATCCAGCAGCAAAACATCATCGACGTGTTCCACATCGTGAAAACACTGCGCAACAACAAGGCCAACATGGTGGAGACCCTGGTGAGTGCCCGAGGGGGCGCTGAGTGTTCGCGGGCCTGAAGGGAGCCGGTTACGGTTTGAGAAGCCCAAGTGCTCAAAACAGTAAAAGGAGGAAGTGTGACTTCAGCTAGGCAGCCACAAAGTTTTGGGTGAATTCGGGTTCTGCAGGGGCAGAGCCTTGAAGGGTTCGCTCATACGGGTCATTGCATGGGAAAGTTTACACTGACTGGTAGACAACTTGCAAAGACACCCCACCACTACCACCACCACCGTACTAGCTGTCAACTAAATGCATTTTTCATTCCTTTCCAACTCTCCCTTGTCCCCCCCACCCTTCCTCTCTGCTTTCCCCCTCTCAGGAACAGTATAAATTTGTATATGAAGTGGCACTGGAATATTTAAGCTCCTTTTAGCCCAGAGGGACAGGGAACCTGCCAGAGTCCAGAGACGGCCACACCCTCTTTTCCGTGAATGGCAGCGATGGGGCCGGGGGCTGAGATGACGCCTGCCCAACTCCGAGAAGACTGGTGGTCTGAGGTGGGCTCTGCACCTCGAGGACTCTCCTGTAGCTGTGGGAGATGCTGTTCTACAACACCCAGGCTTCCCTGCCACACCAAGAGGCCACAGCCCCCGACCCCAGCAGAAACGCACCCACAGCAAGCCCCTGGATTCTTTGGTCCCCAGAACTCTGCCTTTTGCCCTTTCTCAAGTTTGTGAATCTCCTGGCAAGTCAGCTGTGTGGGTGCTGGGGAGTCACAGGCTCGGGGGCACGTCCCCTCCCCACTTCGTGGGAGTGGAGGGAATGTGCATTCTTCTCCTCCCAGCTGTCGTGGGAATGATTTGGCTCTTGGGGGCGATGCTCTGCTGCCCCCTACAATCTCCTTCAGGGACCCCTGGCCCTGGACAACTGCCTGTCTGGATCAGTGTGACCTTGGGGTGCGCCTGAGACCACAGCAGAGGCCCCCTCCCCCACCTCCCCTGCATGGGGCTTGGCCCACTACCACGCTACACCCCTGCTCAGGCCTGGGTCTCGACCCTCTGCCTTTCGCTGGCCAGCCCACAGTGCCCATGCGCTCTTCAGTAGGCTTGACTTTGCTTTCCTGTGGACAGTGGGAGGGGCTGGAACTGCAAAACACTCGGCTGTCCCCTGAGCCCCCCCATACCCGCCTTTGTGAACAGGGAGGCCGGGCCTTGGCTGACTGTGTCTCCTGGGTGGTGGCTTCCTTAGGGAGAAGAGAAGATTTGGTTATTTCCAAAAGGGTCTGCGAAAAACTTTCCTGGGGGGGGGGGTAAAATCTTAGTCTCTGTGTCAGAACAAAAGTGGGCAGGAAGTTGGAACGTGTAGCTAGCAGACAAACCTCATGATGGCACAGCCGGCAGGTGGGGCAGAGGCCGGCTCGTCTGGAGCTGGTCCTTCAAGCTCCGCATCAACTGTGCGTCATCTGGGTCTTCAGGTGCCAATCTAGAGAAACCCAGGTGCCACCTCCCAGGGGCCACCACGGGCCCTGTTTTGGTTGACAATTGGCCAGGGGTCAGGCTTGAGGACCCCGGGTCCTGCCCAGAGTTTAGGGGAGTTGGCAAAAGGAAACCAGCATTTATTAAGCACCAACTGTACGCCAGGTCTGGCCCATTTTGCAGGACATCTCATGCAATCTTAGAACCCCACGAGAGAGCAGTTAACCCGCTGCCATCCCCATTTTACCATCGGGGAAACGCTTCATCTGAAGTCACGGAATTCTGGGTTACCACCAGGCAGGCAGTGGCCATGACACTTGGACCTCCTGTTTTGTCCACCCTTTTTCCACCAAACAATTGTTACAATTGTTTTTGGGGTGGGGGAGAAGGCCAGGACCTTGTGAGCAGAGGACCCCATGAATGCAAAGTTAATTCTTTTGTTTTGGATGGCAGTTCTTCTGAGAGGCCCAGAATTTCAGAGGTTTGAATACCTCGTTCCCAGCTCCTCAGGAAGCTTGCCCCACCTAATTTCTTAGCCAGTGCACACAACCCCCTGTTCCCTCAACTGCTGAGCTCTGTGGCCCAGAGACGCCTCTCTGCCCTTTGATCTGCCAGCCTTGGGCTGGCCTGGATGGCCGACGCTCTGGGTGGAGGCTGCCCCACCCCAGCCAGCACAGGTGAAGCCTGAACGCCACAGGCCACATGTTTGCCCTCAGAGCTCCCTGCAGATGGGGGAAGGGAACCACAGAACATGGCTAGTGGAATGTACAGTGTTGCATGAGCCTAGGAGGAGAGACTGCCTAGGGCTTCCCAGAGGAGGTGGCATTCGTGCCAGCTGGGTCTCCGCAAGAAAAGGAAGAAAAGGACATGGAGGCCGAGGGATCCCCTGTTCAATGGCAGAGGTGTGGAAGTCCCTGAGGGGAGGGGAGCCCAGCCAGAGCATCACACAGCCCAGGCAGGGCAGATAGGCCTGGTCATGGAGAGGGAAGGCCCACCCAGGGTGCAGGCCGCCACCAGAGGCCACAAGGAGTGGGACGACTTGCAGAGATGTGCCCAGTGCACTGCTGGGACATACCCCCAGCCAAGGGGGGCCCCTTTTCCTCTCCTCAGACACTGTGAAACCATCCCCTTTGGCGTGTGCTTTTCCATATGACACCTATTTGTCTGTCTGCTCATTATTTTGTTGCTGGAACAAAGTCGGTGGTGGAGCATGAAACTCAGCTTCTGTGAGGAACTCAGGGCCTCTGTTCCACGCAGAGGTGACCTGCCTCTGGGGCCACGAGGTTGGGAAATGAAAGGTGCCCACAGCTGCCCCCAGGGGCACTGGCTCTGGAGCTATCTGGGAGTGCAGGGACACCAGACTTGATCAAGGAAGGGCTGTCACTTTGGAGGTTCAAACAGAAGCATGTCAAAGCAAAGGAGCTCCATGACACACCTGGTCTCCCCCTTTGATGCACCTCGTCCCGAGTGTGCTTGAGCAACCCCGCCCCCGCCCCAGCTCCCACCGTCCTGCCAGCTCCCAGCTCCAGCCGCTGCCCCAGCCGCCCTCCCCAGCCTTCGAGGAGCCTACAGCGTAGCAGATCCACCTATTAAATGCGGGTTTTCTCAGATCTTGGCTCATCCATACAGAATGGGGGGGAGGTAGTCTATCCAGCACAATTCTAGGACTTCTAGAAGGATGGCGTAAATAGCTGGCAGATTAAAAAAAAAATGGCACTGAATTGTACCATTTCTGATGATGGGCATTTAAAATGTGAATTCAGACAGAGGAAAACTGCAGAATCTCAGGCCACGGTGGGGTAGGCCAGCTCACCCCTCATATGCCCATAACCCAGCTACCCTCCAGAGAAGACAGGGGAGTGAACAGGCCTGAGGCCACTCTGCAGGGCAAGACACTAATGGCAGGACTGGGAGGAGACGAGAAATTAGTCCCCAGAAATTTGGACTTGATACCTCCCCCCAGGGAGATCTCTGGACCAAATACCATCTTCACTAAGACATCTCACCGCCCTACCCCATTCACAAGGTGAGCTCAGCCTTCATGATGCAGAGGAAAATGTATGCTCTCTGAGCCCCCCAACAGGAGCTATCTTCTTTCTCTGGGTGTCCCAGAGAGTTCCCACATTTAGCACAACCCCTCCTGGTTCTCACCTCCTGGGTAGTGATGCTGTTTGGAGAAGATACAGAAAATTAATGAGAAGCCAAGAATTGTCCCTGCCGGCACACGGCTACATAACTTCAGGATCCAGGTTACCTTCAGTTGGGACACCTCAGTTGCACCCCAATCTGTTCTTTCACCCTTTCTTTGTGAAGACCTGGGTTTTCCAGGGGCCGCTGGGTGGCCACGTGTAGTCACCCTGTGTGGGAGCAAAAGGGATCAGTTTGCCTTTACTGCCAGCCTTACCTTGGGTATGGCCTGAGTAACAGATGTCTTCAGTCAGCAGACCTGTGCTGGGGGTGGGGAATGTCTAACATGCAAGTTCTCTGAATTATTCCAACACTTCCCCAAGAAATGTTTGTGATTGTCACCATCTCATAGATGAAGAAACTGAAACTCAGTTCTGTTCAGGAGAGAAATGACTTAAGTGTCCACAATTGCACACAATATGAATGAGTGAGCCAGGATTTAAATTGATCAAAGTCATTATTTCCTATCATTGTATCTCCTACTTACCCTTATTTCCTATCATTGTATCTCCTACTTACCCTTATTTCCCATAACAGCAAAGACAAGAGTGAAACAGATCCAGATCCAGTGATCTTGTAGAATCCATAACAGAGAGAAGCTTCAATTCCTTCAGTTTCATATTTACTTTGTTACTTTTAGAAATCCATACAGTATTTGCATTCTACTCTAATTTAACCTTTTTTGTTTTGAATACAACCATTTAATTTTTTACAGCCCTTTGCCCAGACCCTCATGTGGTTTTCATTCCTCGGCCCACTGGATGGAATCCCAAGATATTAGATCCCAGGCTGGGAGACTCAGTGTCCAACCAGGCTGACTCCTCCTGAGACCAATTCTAGATTCAAGCTCAAGACCAGCTCACTGCCCCCAGGCAGGTCATTTGATGTCAGTGCGGGGGTAGACTTCAAACCAAATCTCTTCCAGTCAGTGCTAGAAGGAGCCTACAAACATGTCCTAGAACAAAGATTTGCCCATCTGGCATGGTGAAGGCTGAGCCCATAAGGCTCAGTAGAGTCCTGCATGCCGGGGCTTCTAGGACATGATTTTCTTTGTCTGAGTGGAACCACTTGTTGCTAATACATCTGCGGGGACACTTTCCTGGAGGGCCTGAGGTCTAGAAGGTCCTTCATTTAAGCCCACCCATGCATACTTTCTGGGTTCCTACAACATGCTGTTATAGGGCTCCTGGAGGGGGTGTAACTAGGAAGTACCGGGCCTATGGCACATTCCATCCTTGGTGAGCCCTGTGGTTGTGGTGGAAAGAGTCCAGTCTTGGGTTTGAAACTCAGGCTTGCCACTTATTGGCTCTAGAATGTGGATAAGCAGTCAATGAAAAGATGACCTGGCCTGGCAGAAAAGGCAGATCTAGACAGCATTGTGCAGGAAAATCAGAAGGCAAGGTCAAGAAATTGGGACCTAACAGGAATACTCAGACCCAAAGATGCATAGGGACTTCACAGGCAAAGTGGGTGACTCTCCAGCAAGACAGAGGGTGGGGAAAGCTGGCCATATCACTTGGAGCAAGGAAATGTGCTGCTTTAAAACAAGTCTGAGTCTCTCAGTAAAGATGACCGTTTTCCCTTTAATCAGTCATGTCTTTTCATTTCCCATCACTGAGGCAGCTCCTCCCATGTGTTCTCACCAGGATCCGCATTTCCTCTGCTCTGGTGTGAATCCCTGGTGTGTATATAAAGGTGTCAATCCAGCACAGTTTCCACAGAAATGGCCCTCGGCGGGGAGCAATCAGGTGCTTATCATATCACCCTGTGGAAGTGACCACCCAGCCAAGATCCAGAGACAATGCAGGAAATGACAATTACCCTGCACCTTACTGCCTTACAACAGGATGAAGAACTCCACCCTCCCTTAGCCTGTAGCTACCCACACCTGAGCTGAGCAAGCAGGCTGTTAGCCCCAGAGTCATGAGCAATGCTGTGGGGGATAGAGGCGAGCCCACAGACATGATGTGCAGGAAGGTAATCCTAGACCATGAGGCCACGATACTGTGCTAGGTAAAACTTCCCGGGGGGAGGGGGGGCAAATGGTCAACCCACATTGCAGGGTGGATCATTAACATAAGTTATGTGGATAGATACTTCATCTCAAAGCCCTGACTTTTCTTCCCGTTCATCTAACTAGTCTCATTCCTTCTCAGCCAATGCTGATCACTCAAGATCACAGACAAAATAGGGAAAGAGGCAAAGGGTACCCAACTAGAGGAGACCGCTGAGATTCACCCTTGTTGCTGTATTCCCACACAAAGTCTCCGTATGGGAGATTTTCCAGAAAAACACATCTAAAAGATGCGAGGCTTTTCATAGCAGGGAGCTGCCTTTGAGAGTCTGTAATGACTGAACGGCAGTGAGAAGTCAGTTGCAGAAAGTACAGAGGACATTGTAGCTCCATTTCCTCAGACACATATTTAAGGATCATGGACATGATTCTCAGAAGCACAGTGAGATGCCAAGTCCTACCTTTGTACACAAGCAGACTCTACTGGTTCATCGGTAACCACAGG